GTAAGGTCAAGGTCAAAGGAAAAGTCAAGGTCAAAAATTTTGATGCAGTTGAAAAGCTTACATCAGTATGTATCAGCATATGACGTTTTATTGAAGTCGGACATGACAAACACTATATGCCTCGGCCATATTCATGGCAGGGCATAAAAAACTTGAATCTACACTATATGAAGATGTTTCCATATCAAAATGACTAACAAGCAAATTCAAAGAATTGTGGTCCCCTGCTTTCCTTGTCCTAGTGGATGGGATGCCATTATTTATGACATATTGTTTCAAATATGCAGGCCTTATCATATGTCATTCAAAAGTAATCACCAAAGTTAAAATTTTTGAAAATTAGGTAAAACATCAAGGTCAAGGGGTAAAAAAATTATAGCATGCTTGGAAACATCTTGTTACAGGTAATGTACATGTCAAATATAAAAGTCCTATCTCTTCTCAATCAAAATTTATAAGGAAATATAACATTTTTGAAAAGTATGTTAAACTTCAAGGTCAATGTCACAGAGTCAAAAGTCATGATATATTTAGAAAGGTCTTGTCACAGGTAATATACATGTATAATATAAACGCCCTATCTTTTCTCTTTCAAAATGATCATTTAAAATAATGTTTAATTTTTTGAAAAGTAGGTCAAACTTCAAGATCAAGGTCATGGGTTCAAAAATCATGGTATGTTTAGAAAGTTCTTGTAGGTAATGTACATGTGAAATATGAAAGCCCTATCTCTTATTATTCAGAAGTTATGACCAAGGTTAAATTTACTGTGACAGACGGACAGACTGACAAACAGACAAACTGACAGACAAATGAGATTTAATGTCCCCTAGGTCCCTTTTGTGAAAACGGACGACAATAATGCCTTTGCTGTTCATGAGAAGAAGATTTATGATGGAAAAAATCTCCTGCATTTTTCTATGTAAATCATTGGATCCCCATATGTGGCCCCACCCTACCCCAGTGGGTCATAATTTTAACAAATTTGAAGCTACCCTAAGTCTATGTAAAGAAAGTTTCAACTTTTTGGGCCCAGTCAGTGGTTCTTGATAAGACTTTTTTAAAATGATACCACCAAATTTTCACTAATTCTTGATTATCCCCCTTGAAAGAGGGTGTGACCCTTCACTTGAACAAACTTGAATCCCCTTTACCCGAAGATGCTTTGTGGCAGGGTTGAAATTGGCCCAGCGGTTCTAGTGAAGAAGACAAAAATGTGGAAAGTTTACAGGCGGACAGATGGATGACAAACAAAATGTGATCAGAAAACCAGAAAAACTCAAGTGAGCTAAAAACTGATGATCCCAAGTACTTGGAAAGAGTTACAGTATTTGAAAAGCAGTTTTTTTTTTCATGCATTGTTTTCAGAAGCTGAAAAGGTATGACTTGTATCCATGTTGAAAAAACTTCACATTTCAGAAAACAGTATGATTAAAAATAGTTAATCAAGGTGCTTTGAGTAGCAAAATAAGCTAAATTGGTATAGCTAATTCAACCACAGAGCTTAGTGAATTTTAAAATGCACAACCTTTTTAACTCTTAATCATTCTTGAAATATTTATATCATCATTTCTGATTCAAGGGAGAACTAGAGATATGATCAGAAGTATATCCGTTGACTAATAAACATGTACATGTATATTGTGTTTTCTAAGTCATTAATGTTTGTTTGTTGTTAAATGTCCCTCTTGGGAATTTTTCACTCATACGGAGACACCACCATTTAAAAATAATGAATACGTACAAGTCGGATTTGAGGTTAACATTCATTTTAGGAATTTTCAACAATTAAGACGTAAAGAGATAACTCCTTCCCCTTGCCCCTTCCCAGACCCCTGTTTGTTCATGTATGCAAACTAGTCTAATACTTTGGTTTGACATTTAAAAAAATGTGAATATATACAAATAGTTTAATGGTCCATCTGTTTGAATGATTTTCATTCCTAATTCTAGGAGGGTACATGGGTTGACCCAAATTGATGAATGAAATGTCAAGTAATCTTATCATTGATGCACTTTTATTTAATTTGATGTAGTCATAATATGAACATTTCCAGTTCATTAAGAGAGTGGGGATGACCTCCAGGGTTTCATAACCTTAAACCATTAGATGTACATAACATAAAAACACAAGAAACAAAATTATGTATAGTCAAATGGAAAAGTTTTCTACTATTTAGGAGTAACATGATCATTTGTCATTTCAGGGACAGGGAGCGGTTAGGGAGATTGGAACCCCCCCCCCCCCCCCTTGAATTTGCAGAGTTTTTTAAATAGGACTATATACTGATTTACAGAAGCAAATAAAAAATGACTTTGGATGCCCTCCCCCTTTAAAAACATGGACCCCACCATCATTGTTTTTTATTTTGTTTGTTTGTTTGTTTTTTTTTTTTTTTCTTTTTGTTTTTGCTCCTCAGGAAATTCTGGGCTGGATTTTTTTTTGGACCGAGGTGTGGACCCCCCCCTCCCCCCGGAAAAAAATTCCCGGATCTATGCCTGTAACTGAATGTAATGTCGACAACGGGAGATATACTTCAGAATGTGAAATTCGTCTATTGTGGCATCCGATGATCCACTCTCTACCATCGGCTCATACATTCAGTGTCTGAGAGAGAAACGAACGACAACTCTGCATAGGAGATTGCCGATGATCTTTGATCCTTTTTAAACTTTAAACTAACCATTTGCATTTCGGTTTATTTTACCCCAATCTATACTTAAACTTGTACTTACCGACTGTCATAGGTCCTGTCAACTTCATGAAATATAATCTAATTAAAACACAAAATGAATTAATTTCCACTGATATACATGTAACACTGCACCATGTCACGTGCAATCTAAAAATGATAATGGTAAAACTAGTACTAGTACTGCTAGGGTGACGCAAGCCCAGTGTGATGTAGGAATTTTCAAAAGGGTGTTCACATACATGTACAGTACAAGAACAAATTTTAAATTATCATAACAAACGATGTTTTAACATAACTTTGCCATCTAGGCCTATTTCCAAAAACAGGCAAATTGTGTGTGTGTGTGTGTGTGGGGGGGGGGGGGGTGACAAAATTGATTGGGTATGGCTTTTCAAGGAGGTTTTTGCCTAATCAAATACTAATTTTAAAAAGTTTCCACAGTTTGATAAATTCATCAAAAACGCTTTGTACTAAAATAATATTATTTGTTGTTGAGAAAATAAAATTAAAAAGTTCCAATTATGGGCCAAAAATTTATACCCCCCCCCCCTTTTTATCAAAACCTAATTTACATCATTTATTAATTTCTGTTATTTCAGACTGGTAATGAATTAAGTATATGAAATGCGTATAAGAGGTTCATGGGTCACATGGTCACCTGAGCATTTTATGCTCGATTTGACGAATACATGTACTGTGTAAATTATAGAATTATTTGGACTTTTACCTTGGTAAGCCCAATATGAAGGAGTGCGCATTTAGAGGCAAACACCTTAGTGCGGGTATTACTGTCTCATGACAGCATCTAGTTACCCTTGGAAGACATACCTGAAAACATTCTTGTTTGGTGGAAAAGAAGAATTATCTGCCCAGAAGCAGTCCTAGTTGTTTTTTAAGGACGAAGGAAATTTGGGTGACGCTAACGCCTACAGTGGTGGCAATGCTGGTCTAGTCCTGCGCTATGGTTATACACAGGAAAGTAAAGTATTTGAACTGGAGGGTAACCTGATGGAAGATATCTTTGGCATCGACAAGTACCTGATCAACGGCGTAGATATCTACATCAAGCTTTTTAGATCTAGCACACCTTTTGTAATGATGTCGGCACAGAGCACCCCGGCTTACAAACTGGAATTATTAGATGTCGTGTACAAAGTGGCCAAAGTGAGAGTAGATCCTGGTGTTCTATTGAACCACAGCAAGCAGATAGAAAATACTCCTGAGAAATACACCATCTCAAGAAATGAATTGAAAATGAACACCATTCCTAAAGGATCTACTGAATTTTACTGGGACAACATTTTTCCTCAGGCAGTACCCGACCGCATCGTTGTAGGTTTGGTAGATCAGAAAGCTGTAAACGGGGATTACACAACCAATCCTTTTAATTTCGAGCATTTTGGTGTAACGGATGTAGGGATATACGTAAACGGAGAAAGCGTCCCAGGAAGACCCTTAAAAACTGATTTCACGACAGGGCATTATTCATCAGCATATGCTCGACTGTTTGAGGCCTCTGGAAAATGGAATCAAGACGCCGGTCTAGTAATTACTCGAGACAACTTTGGAAGTGGATATTCTCTGTTCTTCTTTATCATAGACCCCTGTGGTTTTGGTAAAGAATATTTAAACCTGCTTCGAAGAGGAAACACCAGACTCGAACTAAAGTTCAAACAAGCAACAGCAAAAGCTGCCAACGTTTTGGTGTTTGCCACCTTTTCCTCTCTACTACAAGTGGACAAGTCCCGGGACATCAATTACATTCAACCATGAATTCAAAACAGCTCCTCGATTTTGGGCACAACGAACCTGTCCTGAACTGATTTGTAAAAGGAGTATATGCCAGTAATACTTTACCGGTCGTGACGCATTACCCTAGTGCCTTCATCATCAATACGCAACCTTTGCCATTTCCAGAACATTGGGTAGCTGTTATACACAGTTCCTCGGAGGCAGACTTTTTCGACAGTCTAGGGAAACCACCTGGGAATTACCCAGAGATTGAGAACTTTATTTATAAGAAGAGTAAACATTGCAACTTAAAATGTAAACGACTTCAACCTTCCTATTCAGATTTGTGTGGGCTTTATGTACTTGTATTTTTGATATCTAGATTGTGTCTTAAAATGTCTTTGTCACGTGTTTATACTTTATTTTCTAGTAGCATTCAACTAAATGATGACTTTGTACGTAGTTGAATTCTTGTATCAATAAACATGATATATGACATTGGTGACTTTCGTATAAATACTTGCTCTGTTTTGCATGCCAAGTCATTAGAGATTCAGTATTGGAAAGGGAAACATGACAACGCAGAGCGAGTGGTGGAAAACGAAATCCTTACTACCATTTTCGACACCCATCACAATTTTGATTTGTGGTAGTACACAAAGCGGAAAGACACATTTCACTAAACGATTCTTGCAAAATGCAGATGGCATGTTTTCCACTTCTGTAGATAAAATCATCTATGCTTATTCTGAATATCAACCCATGTTTGACGAAATGATGGCAGACATACCGAGACTCATTCTTCATCAAGGATTACCCTCCAAGGAAGATATAGAGCAGTATACAGAGGGTGTAAACCACACGATAGTGGTATTAGACGATCTTATGCTACAAGTTGCGCAATCTCAAGATTGTGTACATCTTTTTACGGTGACTTCTCATCACCGTAACGTTGCCACTGTGATGCTCTCTTAAAACTTGTACCCTCCCGGTAAATATGCCAGGACCATATCCCTGAACTGTCTAAACGTGATTTTATTCAAGAATTACCGTGATTCCCGCCAGATCATCACCTTCGGGTCACAAATATTACCTGGATGTGTACCATTTTTCAAAGCAGCATACGAACCTGCAACACGTCCAAATTTTGGTTATTTGCATGTGTGTTTAGAACCTACCCAGAACAAAGAGTACCAACTGCGATCTCACATCTTGCCTGGAGAGGACATGGTTATTTATCAACCCCTATAAATACATGTGCTTCATCACAATTTTTTCATATTGCGAATATGAATCGAAGACTACGGAAGCAGAGAGCAGTTATACATTTCATGCTAAGTGCAAACAGCGCTCAACAGAAAGTGATTGTCAAGTCTTTGACTAGTGAGCAACACGATGTCATCAGTGAAATCGCTCTGAATATTTACACGGGAACTTATCCTCTGACGAAGAAGTATATAAATCAGCTGAAACCTTACCAATCGTACATTCGATCACTGGGATCGAGGGAAGTCAGCACGAAACAGAAACGTGGGATTTTATTGAAACATCTACCATTTGTATCACTGTTACTGAAACCCATTTCTCATCAAATAGACAGAAATGGCGAGAGAAGTGATACTAGTGCCTAAATTAAAATACGAACATCTCCTTAAAAAAATCGAGGATAAAGAGCCTGTTAAACCAGACACCGTGAATGACGACAAGGATCGAAAACAAATGTCTGAAAAGACTTTAACCGATACAACGATGAGTGAATCAATCAATGACACCTCAAAGACCGGGACTTGTTACGTCAGTAGAACTCAAACAATAGGAAAACCTCCCGGTGTGTCCATGAAACGACGCAAGAAACACATTCTCTGGCTTACGTACTGAGTGTTAAATTTAGAGAGAGAGAAAAAAGACTGTTCTTGTAAAAACAAATTTTATTGTACATAATGTAATGTATATTATTATGAATGATAATAAATACATTAATTGGGACTATTAAAATAAAAATTGGTGTTAAATTGTACTTTTTTTTTATATTTTCATGGTCTTTGACAAAATCCAAATGGCAGCGTATCTAAATTGGGTAAAATTCTCCTTTTGGTGTATACCATTTGATATCGTTTGGCTTCTATGCGGTTTAACAATTTTCTTTTTCGACTGTCCCTGGATATTTTACAGGGGTTGAGGATTTCAATTTGCTTATCTGGTGTTGTACAGATCAAGGATTTGATAAATTCGAAATTCATCACTTAAGAATTAGCCCAGTTTAATGTAAACCCACGAACTTAACATTCTTCCTTACCAGAAAGATTGCGGTATGCATAATTTTTGGGACCCCCCGACACGAATTCTACAATGTAACCATCTTCTGGTTTGATCTCGTTGGTCAATTCCACTAGGTAGTTTCCTATGGGTAGATATTGCAAGTCGTCCGACTTTTGGGTTTTGAAAATGACACTTTCTGTATCGAAATACAGAACGTCCTCCCCCAACCGATCTAATACACTATATAAGCGCAACCGCGCATGCGCAGTGGTGAAACTTGCCAAAAATATGTTTGTTTTGCAATCCGGAGGCATAAACATAGAATGATTACTCCATTCAAATTCAAGGATGTCCTTGGAAACAATGTGAAAATTGTGAGGGACTTTAGTAGGATCTGAGAGAATCTGAATAAATTGATCACGTTCGGATTCGTGAAAGAACATGGATTGCTTCATGCTTAATCTCTGACCAAATTTTCCCCAAAAACTATGGAGACAGAGCTTGGCTAAACAGCGCAAACCCGGATTTTTTTTTTTATTTTGTTGTACTCCAAGTCTATGTCCTCTTTTTCTTTGTATTGTCTAATATATTCTCTTTTTGACTCCTCACTTGCACATTCGGGAGGAAATCCCGAGGCTTCTTGTGTAATCTTAAGGAATGTATTAAGATACTTTGCAAATAGACCCCCGTCACCCGAAGTTGGGTCATACTGAGTCGATTGCTCAAAGTGATAGACCTCGTAAATTTTTAAAATTTTGTACTCTTTTGATACTGCCATTTGGATTTCAGGAGTACACCACGTGCCCGTGATGGCTCTTACCTCTACAGAACCAGTACAGGCATGCTGATTTTCAGCGTCCGCACACGTTCGACACAAAGGAAATTTCAGTTTTCCTTGAGACCGGTACGGAAGCACGGGGTGGTACAATTTTGTAGGCGGCAAGACTTTAATTTTGGCAAGACCGAAATAGTTCGATATATCCCGAAAATCTTCCGTGATAATGGTCGGATGACCCACGGGATACAGTGCTGCTATCCTATAAATTGACATGGGATGGGATTGGATAGGATGCAGGATTCAGGATATAGGATTGAGGATTTGGGATTCACGATAGAACAATAAGAGGACAATCCTATTCTATCCTATCCCATCCCATCCCACATCCTCCAGCCAATCAAATTCAAGAACAAGTTTATTAATTTTACAGAATTGTTTTAATAAAACGAAAAACATAAAACCGTTCGATCAAGCAAAATCGTGTCGTATGCGAAACAATTACAGATAACATGTTTAAACTTTGCGAATTTAGTTACGTACGATTTAACCGTTGTGCGTAAACCGGATATTGCGTTCTTTTAACGTGTTTTGGAGAGTGTCGTTTATTATTGTTTGATTGCTGAAAATTTCGTCGGTTACGTTGTTTTCAAGTTTTCATTTGATGTTACAACATGACTGTAAATAAGAGAGATTGTTTTATAGTGCATCTTGGTGTATTTCCGTGCCTGAAGTCAGCCATAAACTTCGTCGGAAAACGTAAGTACATTGGCACAAGACTGCATACATACTCGTAATGTTGTAGGAGTGTAGCCGAGTGTTGATTAAAAATAACATTCTACAAATTCTCGACGATGTACAACTGACATTTTAAATTCCTGTGACCTTTTTATTCTCATATTAAATTATCAATATATAGCTATATAAAAAGAATATACACAATGTCTCAATAATTTCCGAACAACCCTCGTATGTATCAGCTATCGACAATACTCAGTCAACTGAGGGATAAGCTTTGATGGAAGAAGTTAAACAAGCCACTTTAGTTTTTTTTCTTCATGTTATAAATCAAAATTAATGGTGAAGTAAAGTCCCTTTGAACACAGTGTCTATTGAATTTGATAGGATGTTTTTTTTTTCTTCCCCAAAAACGCTAAACAAAACATGTCAGATATCTTGATCATAAGAATGTTATTTTGAGAAACTAAGATGCGATTTTATTTAAGGAATAACTGTATAATTTTATATTTCATGATGTAATCAGTCAATCGGCTTAGGTGATAATTTGCATAAAGGCTCAGCCGTCATGGGGGAAAAAAATACAGTAATTTCTTATATTTAGTATTTTACAAGTATTTTTCTCTTTTGCAGTTTTATCTCAGACAAAGGAAGTTAAAAATGTAAATATTTAGTATTGAAAATATTCTTTTATTTGACATCGTACAGATTGATTGTGCAATCTACTGCAGTACACTCTGTGATACCTATGATAGATTTCATCCCTCACCAATGCTCAGAGAAACTTTTTATGTTCAAAATGTTACATCATAAAGCTACAAAGTTTTCAGTTTATTTTTGCAGCATGTTTTGTCGAGTTAGAGGGTACGGTATACTGTTTTTAACAGAACTGTCAGTTAGTCTTAATAATAATTTTTTTTCTTATCGGAGCAAAAATTGTGAAACTCTGTAAACAGCTGATGGTTAATTAGGATATAATGTTCACAAATGCATATATTGAGTGGACAGGAAACTCAGATTCATATTTTTAAAAAGGACAATTTTTAGAGATGTATTCACTGATTTATTTAATATTTCAATTGAATCAGTTGCAAGACAAACATCAATCCCATACATGTACCATGGCTATATGATTGTAATGTGTTAAATATCAAAAAGATTAAACTTGATCATGTTGATTCATCAGGGCAGAAGAGAACAAAATCAAAGTATTTAGTATGTGTTCATGATCTTAAATTTATAGCCATTAATTTTAAGTAAATTTAAGATGCATTATCATGATTATAAAAAATGGGTTTTTTTTCTTTAATGATGTAATATAATTATTTATTAAATTTATATATATATATATATATGTATATTTCAAATCGCAAAAACTTTTAATTGTCAAATTATGTTATCAATTACATTCATGTTCACAAATAAAAACAACCAGGTACAGCAGTAAGTGTGCTAGCCTAATTCATAACATGTTGATAAATTAGAAATGATTGATCAATTAAGCCATTCATTTATAATGATATTAATTTTTTGGTTCAAAGAAATTTTTAATTCTACTTGTTTACCCTATTTTGACTTTCAATTTTTCTCTTTAAACTGACATTTTTTTTAAATGCAGTAAATTTAATATTCTGATTTAAGAAATAAAAATGCTTTAGATTGACTTAATGAACATGGTAATTAAATGATCCTGATCATGCTGATATGGCTACAAATTTTATACATATATATGTGTCAAAATTTATTCTTAAAAATGTTTAAGTTCAAAATTATCATGATTATACAAATAAAATATTTGCTTTTTAAGAAGTAATTGAAACTATTAACAAGGTATGCATGTTTATGTTATGTACATTGACACACTGGGGTAGGAAGTTATGTAGGAGCATACAGAGTTTGTTGTTTTAACACTTAAGAAGCCAATTATGATTGAGATGCCATCAATTAACGAAGGTCTCTACCTGACACAATGAATCCCTGACAGTTGGTATTAGGGGTATACAATCTTTGATTGGGTGATAAATTAAGTAGACATCTTGAATTGGTGGTTTTAGATTGCTGATTGGTTATTTTGGGTACTAGATAAATAATATATATAGCCATAAAGGTATAGGGTGTCATTTATAATTCAGATTGCTACCGAGTGGAGAGATCCTAACTATAGAACACTGCAGACAACATGCCACGCCGTCGTCTTGGAACATTACGTAAGTTATGTTTTTATATATTTATTATATATATATCACAAAAAATCACCAAAGTTACATTTTATTCAACTGTCTTCAACGGTCAGGGACATGATAAATTTAAAGATGCACTAAGATTATCTCCCTTAATGGCCTTATTTATGAATAGACAAAGAAAAAACTTAATATTAGCATGATTAGGGGGCTATATGAGTTCTTCAAAAGTGCATTCAAATTTATCATAGTTAAGTATTAAGGTTTAATGGCTTCAAAATCTTCATATGCAGTACATGCTAACACTGGAGAGAAAATAAAAAGCAGATCAAGTCAAATACATTAAAATACTTCAAGTGTTTAAATGACTTGTATTGATTTATTGACTTCTATTGACACAACTGAAAAATTTAACTAATTATTATTAGCATTGCAAGCTTTCTACCAAATAGGTCAGTTAGCATATGATTTATAAAATGTTTATCTTTCATTAAATGTTTGACATGTTGGGATGTTAGGAAGTTGATATTTAATAGAACATTAAAGTTGTCAGGAAATAATTTGAAAATATTTCTCCTGTCCCTTAATTATTTATCTAATCAAAATTAATGATATTGATACAACGTAGAGTCTGTATATATATTAATATACAATCTCTGTGAAGCATCTGTTGATCTTAACGATCTAAATAGGAAAATATGATAATAGTTTTTTCTTTGAAATTCAACAAAATGAGCATTTTCAATAAAAGGGGTAGGATTAAGGTCTGTTACATGTACCTACAATTTGATTGGTTATGGTAGAAAATTTTGGTATGACTGTGTTACTTGAGAGCTTATAAATGCAATATTAAGGTGTCTGTCTAGCTGTCTGTCTGTCCGTCTGTAAACATTTTTAGGTCGCATGAGGTGAAAGCTCAAGTGAGCTTTTCTGATCACTGGTTGTCCATCCGTCTCTCTGTAAACTTTTCACATTTTCAACTTCTTCTTAAGAACCACTGGGTCAATTTTAACCAAAGTTGGTACAAAGTATCATTGAGTGAAGGGGTGTTTAAATTGTTAAAGTAAAGGACCAAGCCCCCTTACAAGGGGAGATAATCAAGAAAAGACAAAAATAGGGTGGGGTCATTAAAAAAATCTTCTCAAGATTCAAAAACCACTAAGGCCAGAAAAGCTGAAACATATGTGGAAGCATCTTGGGATAGTGTACATTTAAAATTGATAAAATCATGACCCCAGGGGGTAGGACAGGGCCACAATAGGGAATCCAACTTTTACATCGAAATATATAGAAAAATCTTCTTCTCAAGAACCATTGGGCCAGAATAGCTGAAGCTTATTTGGAAGCATCCTGTAACAGTGTAGATTCTAAATTATCAAAATCAGGATCCCATTGGGTAGGGCGGGGTCACAATAGGGAATCCCAGTTTAATATGGAAATACATAGAAAAAAATCTACTGCTCATTGCCCCAAGAACCACTCGGCCAGAAAATCTGAAGCTTATGTGGAAGCATTCTGGTGTAGTGTAGATTCAAAATAATTTAAATTTTGACCCCTGGGAGTAGGGCGGGGACACAAGAGGGATTTCAAGTTTTATATTGAAATACATAGGATTTTTTTTTTAAATCTTCTCCTCAGGAACCATTGGGCTTGTAAAGCTGAAACTTATGTGGAAACATCCTGGGGTAGTATATAGATTCAAAATTATTTAAATTTTTACTCCTGGGAGTAGGGCCGGGCCACAATAGTGAATCCAAGTTTTACATTGAAATATATAGGAAAATCTTTAAAAATCTGAAGAAGAAGAACCACTGGGCCAGAAAAGCTGAAACTTGTGGAAGCATTTTGGGCATGTTGGGGTAGTGTATATTCTAAATTGTTAAAAGAATGATCCCGGGGGAGGATGGGGCCACATTAGGTATAACAAGGGGAAAGTCTGGCGAAGAACAGCAGGGCCTTTTGTTTTTAGCTCACCTGAGCTTAAAGCTCAAGTGAGCTTTTCTGATCAATCGTTGTCCGTCCGTCTGTAAACTTTTCACATTTTCAACTTCTTCTCAAGAACCACTGGACCAATTTTAACCAAACTTGGTACAAAGTATCCTTGGGCCAAGTTCCCTTACAAGGGGAGATAATCAAGAAAAGACAGAAATAGGGTGGGGTCATTAAAAAATCTTCTTCTCAAGAACCACTGGGCCAGAAAAGCTGAAACTTATGTTAAACTTATGTGGAAGCATTCTGGGATAGTGTAGATTCTAAATTGTTCAAATTAGGACCCCCGGGTATAGGGCAGTGCCACAATAGGGAATCCAAGCAGAAATATATAGGAAAAATCTTTAAAAATCTTCTTCTCAAGAACCACTGGGCCAGAAAAGCTGAAACGTATGAGGAAGCATCCTGGGGTAGTGTAGATTCTAAATTATCAGTTAACCATTTCTGTTTCAAGTTGTACTCTTATGAGGAGGAAAGAAAATATTACTATTACTTGTACATGTATTGACAATAGTGACACTGTTTTACCGGATTTTTTCTGTGTGCAATAGCACATTTGATACCATAAGTATTTGTGAACAAGAAATTATAGATATTATTTCAATTCTTCTTGTAAACAAAGCAATATGCCCAGACAATATTAGTCACAAGATGTTGAAATCCACAATGTATACTATAATGTAAAACCATGCACAGTAATATATTTATTGTTTAACACTGGTCATTAGCTGATTGAATTTTTCCTTGTAAGTGGAAAATTGCTAATGTTCTCCCTTTATTCAAGAAAGATGATCCTTCCGTTATGTCTAATTATAGACCTGTGTCATTGTTAAGTTGTATTGGTAAAGTATAGAACAAATCATATTCAAACACTTGTACAATCACTTTCGTAATAACAATCTGTTTTATGAATACCAAGCTGGATTTTGACCAGGTCATTCCACTGTATATCAACTAATAGAAACATATGATACTATTGTCAGAGCTATTGACAACAGTGAAAATTGTTGTATGTTTTGTGATCCCTCTAAAGCATTTGATCATTTGTGGCACAAGGGTCTTTCGTTTTAACTCAGAAACTGTGGTATAGAGGGAAATCTGTTTTATTGGTAAAAGAGTTACATTGAAGGTAGATCACAAGTTTCAAACTTGTTATCTGACGAAAAACCTATATATGCATGTGTCCCTCAAGGTTCAGTGTTAGAACCTCTATTTCTTATATACATTAATGATGTTGCTGAAGATATGAGAAGTTTTTGTAGATTGTTTGCAGATGATAAATCCCAACAGCAGTCATCTAAAAATGTTAATACTATCGAAAACAAGCTTAATTCTGATCTTAACAAGCTAGAAATTTGGTCGAAAATGGATTCTTAAATTCAGTCCTTCTAAAACTAAAGAAATATTTTTTTTTTTTCTGCGAATGGGGAAATTACATATTGTTGAAACTCACACTTTACTAAGGTTGTATCAATATATCGATACATATCGATATTTAGGGCTGTGCAATAATGTCGATATTCCGGTATATTGCGAATCGTTAACAAAAAATATCATATTGTGATACGTTTTTCCAGTACCTATATGTACCGGCAAACTGCTTGGGCTTTAGATTTCTTAAGTGAAATGTTAAAAATGTTTCCAATCATGCCAAACAGTACCAAATGGTAAAGTCAAAATGCTGTTGTATGGTTGCATTATATCCCAAAACTGTAGTGAAATCAACAAGAACTTTTTTGTAACAATGTATGAAAATTATTGACGTTTTGGGTCAGGTTGGGAAAGTTTATTTTCATACAATGATTTTAAAAAAAACTATTAAAAATGAATTAATTGTTCTAAAGTAAAGACAAAAACAACAGAGTAAGTAAAATTAGGTTTTATACTAATGCAATTTAATTTTTTATACACACAATGTACAGTTTGTGATATTGGGAATAAGTAAATTGATTTAGAGGAATATTTTAAACAATTTAAGGCCTATGATCATCAAACTTTGTCAGTTGATGTATCTTGGGTCCTCAAAGTAAGTCAACTAAAAAGTAGGTCACCTTGACCTCCTTTTTGAATTTTATGGCTAATCTTTTTCAAAACAATAAGGGTCATTAATTTGAATACCGAGAGGTTTAGAATCATTAAATCTTGTAAGACGATGCATCTTTGGGCCATAAAACATATTTATTAAAAAGTAGGTCACAGAGACCTACTTCTTGAATTTTGCAGGCATTCGATTTCAAAGCGTTTTAGAGGCATAATTTGGATATTTTAAAGCCTGTGATCATAAAACTTTGTAAGTTGATGCATCTTGGGTCCTTAAAAAACGTCAACTGAAAAGTAGGTCACAGTGACCTAACTTTGAAAATTTATGGCTTTGATTAAATATTTCAGGTACAATTAGCTTAGAATCATCAAACTTTGTCAGTTGATGCATCTTGGGTCCTTGGAGTACAACAACTGAAAAGTAGGTCACCATGACCTACTTTTGAAAATTTATGGTTATAATTCTAAAAAAATATTTTAGGTATTAATTGGCTTAGAATCATCAAACTTAGTTGATGGGTCCTCAGAGAATGACAAGTGATAAGTAGGTCACCTGACCAATTCTCAGGTACTAGTTGGCTTAGAATCATCACGGTTTCTCAGAATGTGAATTGGCATTTCAAGGATTTATCTAAATATACAGGATACGTAGAGGCTTCAAATAGAAATGATAGGTTGTACAGTTTATCACAAGAGCGATTCAAGGCCCTTGGGCCTCTTGTTTAAGTACATGTACTTGTTATGTGGAAGGCTATTTTCAATCAAAAGAAATACTTATGTATTCATTTTTCTTTCCAGAAAACTGGATCTGAAGAGGGAGTCTCATCTAATAATGTGGAGCATTTCCCTGTTGATATAGAGGTAGGTATTCATTTAAGTTCTCGGTATATTTAGCTCACCATGGAGCAAGGGCCACACCCTCTATTCAAGAGGAGATAACTCAAAAATAATGAAAATTTGGTGGCATTCTTTTAAAATTCTTCTTGTCAAGAATCACTGGGCCAAATAAGTTAAAGCTTAAAGGAAACTTCTTTACATAGTGTAGATTCAATTTTTTTCTTCAAATGATGACCCCAAGGAGTAGGTTGGGGCCACAATGGAAGATAAAAGTTTTACATAGGAATAAATAAGTCTGTTTGTTGTTTATTTGTTGTTTGTTGTTTAATGTCCCTCTTGAGAATTTTTCACTCATATTGAGACGTCACCACTTGTCGATGGATGGCTGCAAATTTAGGGCCTTTGACCAGTGAGGTATCTTTATTGTGCCAACACCTACTGCAACACAAGACCTTGGTTTATATGGTCTCATTAATTCACAACAATTTGGTTTAAAAAAAAAATCTAAATATAATTATGTAAATGCATGTAAAACTGAATGCCTAAAGCTTTAAGTCTCAGTCATCTTCATATACTGGTGATAGTACATAATAAGATAATTAATACCTGTACAGAAAAAGAATGTTTATTGCATTATTGTTGCTTTGACATTCACAATAAAATTATTTCTACATGAGTCAAACCTCGTTATCTCGAACGCCATGGGACTGAGAAAAAACTACGAAATATCAGAGTATTCAAGATATCAAGAGTAAAATACTAAAAAAAATATGTGGTTGGAATTTTAATCACTTGACAGATCCATGGCATTCGAGATACTGGTGTTCAAGATACCAAAGTTCAACTGTATATATGTAACTATAATTTTTTTTAGAAACAGACTTTGCATCGATGGTAGATAAAAATATCATTAAGGCTTTTGTGGATATGATTAAATAAATTTAACTTTTAAAATAAAAAACAAAACAAAGCAGCTGATCATAATAAGGCATATTATTGTTTTTTAAATTATTTATTACCCAGCTTCGCTTTAAAATGGTGGAAGATAGCAACACCCAATTACGCTGACTCACTTATCACATGCACATGTGGCAAAATAACCTTTGTTATAAAAACAGGGTGGCAAGTGGCTTAATGCAAATTGATCATAAATAATATATATATATATAGCAGAAACATTCTTGAATAAAAATTTTGGTGTTATTACGAAAACGATGATGAATCAAATCATGAGAATGGGCTGTCCTAAGGCAGTGTAGATTCAGCTTTCTTCAGATCATGAATTAGAGGGGGGGGGGGGGGTATGGGGTTGAGGTTGGGGGGTCACAACATTATAAATTAGATTCAGCTTTCTACGGATCATGGTTTAAGGGGGATGGGGGGGGAGGGGTAATGGGGTTGAAGGTGGGGGGTCATAACATTTAATGTTAGATTCAGCTTTCTTCGGATCATGATTGGGGTGGGGGGTCACAACTTAAAAAAAAATGGAACCTGATCCCACCTCTGATGTTTTAGAAGTCCGTGTTTGCTTTGCTCCAAAATTTATATTGTTTAATTGACTTTTGAGATTGAATACTATATGTATTCACAATTTTCATGGAAATTTAAAAAAGTTTATAGAAATCTGAAATCAGTAAGGCTAAAAAAAGTCAATTGAGCATTGTGGCCCATGTCATGAGTGTCTTGTCCTCACTCTTATTGTCCAAATGCTTCTTGTTTAAATTTTCCATTGAATATTTTAAGGTAACTCTGACTTCATATTGTTAAAGGCTGATGGAAGAAGAATTAAAGTTCTTTTCCAAGGTGGAGGAGATACCACAGATCAAATAGCGACCCCAAACAGGCCTCCATGTTATACTAGTGACCTCACAACTGATCAAGCTGATGTCATACAGCTTCAGGTAGAAAACTACGCAAACCAACGGACCAACTGTGCAACTCAAACAGATGCTGTTGTTGTCCTAACCAGTGATAAAGACATTAAAGCTGCAAATGCCAGGACAAATGTTTCCCTGACGAGGTCCAAAATGGAAGTGTGGTCCACTCCCTCTGTAAAGGAAGATTGCTGGGAAAAGTTGGACCTTATTCAGCTGACCCAGGTGGAGACCAACAACAAGCTGAGCAGACTTCTTGAACTTTTTGAGCATCCTCCACAAGACGTTAGTGGGCTCAGTGACTACTTAAAACAACTGACAACTCCATGCCCTGGCTCAAGATGCCCTCCTAGTATAACAGCAGAGAGATGTGCCAATGAAACACAGAAGCAGAAAAGAAAGCCTCTCAGTGCAATTGAGTTGTTTGAAAAAGAGAACTGTCAGCCATGTGAAGGACCCCCTACTCCAGATGAGTTGTTTTCAGACAGGCCTGTTGAGGAGGATGTTGAGGTTGAGAGGGATGAAGAAAACAAGGAAAATGAGGAGGACAAGGAAAATGAGAGAAATCGTGTGGATGTTGTGCCTCTCTCTGTAGGAATTTCTACCACAGATGTAGCTCCAGCATATACATCGGTTAACAACACCATAGTGCTGAATTGTCCATCAAATGTAACAATCATTGATGTGAGTTCACCAAAGGACATTGTGCCTGGAAACTGTGAGTTTGTTGTGAACAAAGAACTTCAGCAGACAGCTAGAAGTTCAGCTTGTTCAGCTGGGAATTTCCTGTGGACCATGACAAAGGTTCTTTTCAACGAGGAGGAGTTGGCTCGAAACATAAATTTTTCCGGGCGAAAAGGAAAAGAAAAGATGTCTCCTAGGAGAAGACACAGCCTTGTCCATCTCTATGTGGAGAACTACGACAGGAGAACAGATGGTCTGATGAAGGCAATAAATTCGGTTAACAACGGGTTGCTGCAGAAGAAGAAGAAGTAAACAAGTACGAGTTCAATTATGCAAAACCAATGCCATTATGCTATAGAAATGCGATTTGGACTACAAAAATAACTAGACTAAGTGATTGGTGTGTTCATCATATTGCTGTATACTAAATTGCACAGTTTTCAGTGTACATCTTTGGCTAAGTGGCATATATATGAATTTAATTTAGTACAATATTTTCAAACTTTTACATCATATGTTTAATTTTGTATTATTTGTAATACCTGGTCATTTGAAATTGAAAAATATAAGAGACGAACTTAGATTTTGAAATATACATATTCTTGTATGATGAAATAAATTTCATTATATTTTTTTTTTCTTCTCATTCACAAGGTTACTATTTAGCAAATAATTCTTGGAAGTAAATGTTTTTGTTTTTTTCAATCAATATACATGTATTTCAGTTCATCCTCACAAGAAAAACCATTATAAGAGTGTGTGTGTGGGGGGGGGGGGTCTAGATTCACTGACCTAGCCTTTTATAAGAAAGGGGTTAATTTTTCACTGAACAAATGCCTATTACTTAAGCAATAAATGTTTTGTTTTTTTTTGTAAGTATGGAAATTAATGTTGCAGCTGTTGCAGAAAAAATGCAAAAGCTGCTACTTTAACTCCCATACTAATTAAAGAAATACATTTATGTGTATATAAAAAAATCATATAGGATTACGCAAGTTAAATTTTGTTCGATTGAATTGAACATCATTGTATGTTTCATTGATAGAAGAGCTACTGCTCAAGAAAACTATACAGGCGATATGCTTAATGCCATTTACCGATTGATGAGCAACCATGGTTTTCTTAAGAAATAAAGGAGATAATATTCAGTGGATGTAAATATATTGTACAAATTTATAAAATTGTCAAGTTATGACTCATCATTCCTCTGCTTTAATTCATACTCTACACTTTGGAAAATTTGCTTCAGCACCATTGATTCATTAAAAGAAATCTAATTTATAATTAAATTGCAAATATTCTCAACATTACTTGCAGAGCAAATGGCATTTTGTGATGATAAAAAGGAATTGACTTAGAAAAAGTTATCCTCTAGTTAGCCCAGTCTCAAAGACAATAAACTGAGAACAGACTAAAGTCAAAAACCAATATAACTTTCGAAATAATTTTTATAATGAAACAAAATTTTCTTCGGACATGTGTATAAATTTAAATGTTATACAAAGTTGAAAGTTTTTGAGCAAATACATGTATGTTAAATAGAACAGAAGATATAAAAAAACAAAATTTTGATTCAAGTCTGTCCTCAGTTTATGGTCTAGGAGCAGAGGAACTATTCTTGACTGGAGAAGATGCATTGGCAATTAGGCATGAAGACGAAGTATAAATACCATTATTTACCATCTGATTGTTCATGTTTAAGGCCGTGGGCAAAATGTCTCTCTAATTATGGCATCCACAACATGAACAACTAACTCATGTTGAGATTTAAAATGTAGATGATTTTATTCATAATGCAAGAACTTTCCAAACTTGTCAATGATAAGAGCTGGAACTGTCAATAATGCATTAAATATTATGAATATGTCAGAAAAAAATCTAGTTAAAACACAATGAAATTAACATAAGTTTATATCCATGAGTCATATTCAAGGAATGTTTGCAAAATATTCAATTATTTTAAAATCCTTTCTATGTACAGCTCAATTGTGTTAAATGTATTAACAAAAATTGTTCATCAACATAAACTGTGCTATGTAAGGCTTGTCAGCACAGATACCAAAATTCTATGTACATTTAGTGTATTAAATAGTTAAAAGTATTTACAGTTTGGAGAAAAATAGTAACTAAAGATATGCCCTACACAAACATCATCTCAAATCTAATATATTGACCGAAATGGTAGAATACAAAAAAATTCACACACCATGGACAAAAAAAATAATATTCCTATAAATACATGTACATTTATTACAAGATGTTTATCACAAATGAAATTTTTATTTATGCTCTCCACACAAACAAAAAAACACAACAAATAAATACTTTCTTATCTGAATGCACATATTAAGAAAAACAGGACAAAAAGTTTGTGTACATTTATTCACATATTGATATTCAGCTTTGAGTTCTCAAAAGTTTGTTGCCTCTCCACCATTTAGAATCACTTGTGGAATAACTCTATGTATGTGGTCAATGTACTTTCCACACTGCTCTGTTGTCAGTTTCTCCCAAAACGATCTGATGCCATTTACCAGTTCATCTTTTGTCTTCGGTTTCACCTGCGTCTGGAGATGGTGTTTCATGGATGCCCAGACATTCTCAATGGGGTTGAGGTCTGGAGAGGAGGCGGGTGTCTTCATGACGCTGGTTAAAATACCATTCTGACTCATCCATTCTTTAGTTGATATACTTGTATGTTTGGAGTCATTGTCCTGAAGTGAAAATTAAAAAAAATTAAATATGATGAGGTCATGATATGTGATTTGAGACAAACCTATAATTTCTGCTGGTGGTACAGTAAGGCCAAAGAAAAAAAATGTTTATTTACTTTTACATTCTAGACTTTTTAAAAAAAAAAAAAAGGGTTGATCTATTTTGGTTTTCGTTTTTTTTTTTTATCATTATTACTTTGTAAAAGAAAGTCCTCTTTTTCTACATGTTCTAGTCATAAAATCTTTCTAACCATTTTTTCCAGAAAACTCAAAAATGGCTACTTTAAAGTACTTTTACTGTCTATAAACAGATATGTTTGAAGGAAAACTATCCGACAAGAAATTTCCAGATTTACAATTAACAAAAATACTGGGGTCAGCACAACGTAGAAATGGTTAGTGTGCAATGATAGAGGCTCCTTTTTAAAGGGTTTAAAGGTTACCATGGTTACAGTGAATTAACTTTAAAGTGTACGTGACACATTTTCTGCACAAGATGCATCAACTTTAAATATTTACATTTGCATATGTTTTCCCTTATATAACACTATTTGAACAAGGCGTTTTTACACCTGTGTAAAACAAGTTCGTCATGTGACCATAAATTAATTGTTTAATTAAACGATCTACATAATTTCATAGTGACGTCATAAGTGATTGAAGTGTTCAACACATTCAATTATACTGTTGATTTTAAAAAAAAAAAAAAAAAAAAAACATTTATTGGTTTAAAACTTTAGTACCTTACTATTTGTAATAAATAAGTCACAAATGTAAATATAAGTAATAGGGATTACTTTTAAAAGTATTACCGTGATGTAAATATGGGTTTGCATGTGATCAAATCTATGATTTGATCACATGACCAACCCGTATTTACATCCAGATAAAACTTTTAAAATGATACCTTATTTCTTAAATAATTGCAGATTCGTCTGATTGTAGGTGTCAAGTAAATAAGTCTTGAACCTGATATAAAAAAACATACTGTGCCTCTTGAACCAAAACAGAAGATTAAATCTTATAAACCTGAAGTGATTTATGTTACTTAAGAAAGTCAAAATTTACATTTACCTGATAAAATCGAAATCCCTCAGGAAACTTCTCCTTCACAAATGGTATGAGATTGGTCTCCAAAATACTTTGGTACAGGGAAGAGTTCATTATACCTGTGAAGATACATATCGGGGTCCTTCCTCTGTATGAAATTCCTGCCCAGACATGGACCCGGAATAAAGTTCAATGCAGTTATGTCAATGACTCATCACAATTCAAAGAGTAGCTTGTTATCCTATTGACCATGTTGACAAAAGAAAGCAAGGAGTTTTTAGATCAGATGTGCTTTAGTTTGCTCAATCAGTAGAAAAAACTTTTTTTTCTTCACAATCCTCAAAACAGACTGACGTGATTAAAAACATAATTAAAAACATATTGAGGTATAAAAATACATTTCATGCATATATTTGTATAGCTTTGAACTAAAAAGACACCTAACATTGGACAAAAGACATCTCAAATTTGTCATGTGTATTTTACTGTACACAGAAAGTTACAAAATTTACAGGGCACATGTAAGTTGATATATATCATTTACATTTACAGAAAAAATTATTCTACTCTAGCATTGACCTAGATACCTCTTTAGATTTTAAATATGAGTAGTATATATGCCCCTTTTCAGTAAGTAATCAACAAATAACAAAATGATGAGTGAAGGAGATTTGCACAGATAAGAAAAATCTGTTCACTGTAATTGCTATGGCCTCTCTAAGGAATTGGTAGAGTATATATGTAACATCTTTACATACCTTGTAAGCATGCTTGGGCCTTGATCTTTTGCGTGTCGACATCTGCATCCCTGTGCTATAATGGTGGAAGAATAGCTTTCCATGGGCATTCATTTCCACAGAACTTTCATCGGCAAAAATTACATCATGAAAGTTCTCTTGTTTCCTGAACATTCGCAAGACCATTGCATTCTAGCCTGAAAAGAAAAAAGAAAACATTAAATAGGTTGCGGGCACTCTAAAAAAGTGTGGAATACCCAGTGAATCTAAATGATTATTTGTTTGTTTGTTTGTATGTTGTTTAACATCTTATGTTTTCACTTATAAGGAGACGCTGGTGGAGGACTACAAAGTTTGTCCTATACTCGGCACTGAAGGCCATTGAGCAGTGGGGGATCTTTTTCGTGCCAGCACGTACTGCGACACGGAATTATTAAATAACTAGTATATTTAATACATTTTTTGTTTAAAAAATGTTTAATTTGAAGAAAAATGTTAATATTATGATTAGAGACCCATATTTAGCATTTTCTGATAAATAAATTACACATTATCAACAGTGACTCACACTGTACTACAATGTGCATGTGTACCAGCATCATTATACTGTTATACATGAGTATGTCAGGGTTGGAAATGACATAGCCTGCCCGACTGCCTGTGGCGGTCAGTTTCTCAGAGGCAGGGACAAAACTTTAGATGAAAGCCTGGTGGTCGGGTTTATTCAAACTGCTAGTTCCTATTTTCAATTGTTTTTCATATTCAAACATTGTATAGTAAGTATGCAGGTATTGTTAAGAATTAGGAATAT